TGGAAAAGAAAATGGAAACTGGCTTCAGAAGTATGGCACGTGCAATGGCTAACCCCGGGCGCTTCTGACCCGCCTGTGGAGTTGTATGCTTTGCCAGAGCATCTACGCTGCACAGCCAGGTCTTGGTGGCGTTCTATCGCTTCTCTGGTTTAGAAGGCTGCTGAACAGATGCTTTCAGGGTGCTACCATATATAGTAGTTTCCATTTTATTTTCCATTATCCCACTATAACCCCTATTAAAATATAGTTATAACCCTAGAACCCTACTGAATTTTGGGAGGTTTTTGTGCGCCTGCACCAGGATCCTACAGCGCTCAGCTCTTCCTTGCACACATACAGATTCATACTTGAAGTTGATTGGGGAGCTTTGTCGCTCTTTGCCAGACAGCTGCCGGCTGAATGCTGCAAATTCATTGCAGCCAGGCTGCAAAGAGTAAGATTCAGTCATTTTCCATGCGGCAAAGGTATAGCGGCACTTACGCACGAGCTGGAGCCAAGAATGCTGTTTAGGCCTTCAAACATCAGTTAGATTCTTGTGCAACACTGAATAGAGGGGGCTCTGGGCATCTCTTGCGCGGACATGTTGAGAGCCAAACTCTATGAGAGCATCTGAGGAGATGATTTTGATGGTGCCGCGCCCAGCCATTTGAACTGGGTGGAGTTATAGTCCCCCTTAAGTAGATAGAATATGGCTTCGGTATATTTATAATGAGATCCGCGTATCATTACCCCATATTCTATCTACTTAAGGGGGACTATAGGGCCATGCTGTTATGGCATTATGACCAGGATGATTGAGCACCCTGACACCCTTAAGGCCCCCTCGAGGAACTTGCACGTCCTGCTGGGAGGTATTAGTCTGAATGCCGCATTCAGCGCAAGGTAGGTGAGGGACAGAGCATCTGACTTGTATAGGGTGATGAAAAAAAATGAGCTATTGTAACAGTAGTGCGGATGCCACTCCCCAAAAGCGTGAAGACCCTTCAATTTGCACAAATTTTGGACATCATTAATGCTTTGAGACCCCTATGCTCGTTGGAATTCAACATTAGTTATCATCATTGCAGTCCTGATTCTATAGGCCAGGATGATCATTTTCACGCAGCCTCAAACGGTATGCCTTAGGTGGACTCCCCACCCAGTAATGGTGACTATAAGGGTTAAGGATCATTTTAGGGTCCTATCATATTATAATATTACTACTATATGGGGGAAACCCTAGAGTGTAGGGTTTAGGGACCATGAACCCTCAACCCTTAGCCCTAAACC